ACACTTCCTCTAGATATAAGGATATCTGCAGTGATATATAATTGGGATACCTGTCTATTTTAATACACTGTGTTCCAGTGTACCCCAATTCGGCCCCACCGAGGAGCACACTGATGGATGTCTTTCTGTAACCCTAAAATTAACCCTACACATTAGCTTATTTTTTAATCTGGTTAGAGGACTTTCCAGATTTTATGGCAAAATTTTATGCATCGCTTTGTGAAAATCGTTTTGTAGTGTTGAATGTTATATAACATTAACATAATGTGGTTTTCAAAAAATAAATAAATAACGGTATTAATATGACTTGCCCTAATTATGATTTGAATATTAAGCTGCTTAGTAATCGTAATTTCTGATGTTTTTTTTTTTCTTTATAAAATGATGAAATTTGATTTTGCTTGTGAAAGTTACTGTATTTAATTGCCATGTACCTAGCCGTACCCGAAATAAAGGGATTTAAAAAGCCACCATTTGGACATGTTGATGTGATGCGTAGAGGGATATTAAAGTGTTTGTGTGTTCTGAGGATATTTTCCGCATGATTAAAATCGTAACAGTACTGGTTTGGTCTACAGAAGTTCCTGTTCTTACAGGTAACTCCAATCATAGAGAAAGCCTATTGGAGAAATCGACCTTGTCGTTAACCATAGAAGCCTAGGTCAATACTAACTCCGGCTATATAAAATTGATTATAACATTTATAAAATATTAATTTTATTAATTTAGTAGTGACATTATGTCATATATATATATATATATATATATATATATATATATTAAAATTGTATATTGAAATAGTATAGTAGCATAGCCGAGGCCTAAACTAGGCCTTAACCTAGTGATTATGTGAGTGTACAAAAATATGAATAAACGCAAATTGTGAAAGAGTAAAGGAAGAATAGGAAAGAGATTTGGAGCGGCTGAATATGCCATTATTGCATTACGTTTCCGTAAACATTTTTGGGAACTAATCGTCAGGGGTCTCGGTGCCACAGCATACTCTTTTTATAATTCGACATCGATGTAAATTTTAATTGAAGGTTTTATCTTTCGGTATGCATGGAAATAAAAAAATTGTAGGAAGATGAACTAAATGACGTTAAAATTAATAAAGGATGAGTAACCCACACGAAAGTAGAAAATGATGAGAGTTAATTTTAACATGCAAGTCAATTTAATACTTTTAAGACTTGTTATGAGGATTGTACAATAATTTTATTATTATTATTATTATTATTATTATTATTATTATTATTATTATTATTATTATCATTATTTTTATTATTATTATTATTATTATTATCATTATTTTTATTATTATTATTATTATTATTATTATTTTTATTATTATTATTATTATTATTATTAATATTATTATTATTATTATTATTATGTTGTAATTGTGTTGTTTGTACTGTCTTTTAATTTTATTATACAGGGCCCCTGAATATCAGTTAACCTACTGGGCTAAACTGAAAGGGTTACGCTCTTTAAAGATGGTTCAAATAAATAAAATAAATTAAAACTAGAGCAATATTCGCAGAATATCTTTACCTTGGGAACCAGCCAAGCAAAACAGGCAAAATCCATTCCTTCAGGGACAGATATATATCGCTTATATTCATACAAAACCAAGTGTATTGCAAAGTCCTATAGTACCGTAAGCTGTTGTTTTGAACAATAAAACCCTGGTATTCAACGCCTGGTCCGTCTGCGAACTACGGTCTGCGAAAGGTTTTTGTGCGGTGCCTTGCAACATTCCTAAAATGAATAATCATTATTCCGACCGATTTTCAGTAGGCCTACTTTAGAGAAAAGGGTTTTCTGTTATTGGAAACACGACCACCTACTCTGGTATTGTTACACAGTGCTCGACTTTTCCAAATATAGCTCACTTTATCTAGGTTTAAACACTCTAAAACAAGGGTAGTAGAATTCGGAAACACAAGGGCTGTGAATCTAAGCAAATACAAAAATTAGCAACCAGAATTTTAATCTTTGACCTACATGTGATTTTTTTATGTGTATTTTTTTTTTAGAATTGCAGAGTAGGATTGTTATTTTGTAACTTTCTGCCCTTTTTTTGCATTCCATCTCACTATTTTTCTTGGGTATTTTTCCCCTACCATCAAAAAACTGTGCTTTTAAAAGCAGTTGAACAAACTTTCTTTGTGATTGAACACATGCAGGTAGCAGTTCAACTAGCCTATGTTGACATTTTTGATATATATTTGACTGACACTCATTTGTATCAACCCCACTGAGTTACATATACCTGTTGTTAGGATCAGACATTGATATTGCGTCAAGTGAAACATTTCATTATCAAAATCATGCTTCGGTTTTTGTTTGTCTTGTGATATAGGCCTACACTGTGGGATAATACAATGAATACAAAGTGACTTTCAACTAACGAAGAGGTCTACTATACCTAAGTTCTCATCTTCCCCCAGTGATTTCAGGGGGTGTTCCTCTCCAAAATGAGATTTTTTTCAGGAATAACCTCTGGATGGCCATAAATGACACGCTCAGACTGTGACGGACTATTTTTATAAAACTATTTGTTCAGCCTGTCTGCCCGATGGGGAGAGGGGCTTGACCTGTCTGGTGGGGTGCTTAACCCCTGCTACCAACTCCCCCGCTGGCGCCGCCACTGAATAGAACCCTTACAGTTCGCATTGTTTTTGAAGAATAATTCAAAATTCAGCCCAAAACACTAGAAGTTAAGAACTTAATTTTGATTGGCCTAAAAATTGCTTTCGACAAATAAAAGTAACTTATCTGTAGTTAAAACTTGGTTTAAAATTGACAGATGCACAGACATGGCTAAGACATGCGCAATAAAAATACATACAAAACATAGGCCTATAAAAAAAAATTTAAGAAAATGAATGAATATAGGCCTACAATGTTAAGCTTGTAGTTTTGACATATAAAAATAACTAGGTAATTAATGTATAAAAATTAAAGTTGTTTTGATTTAAAATTCAGTTTAAATTTCCATTACAAATTTACTGTAAAAAAAACTAATGTAAAGACTGACTTAATAATTTTGCATTAATGTCGTTTTGTACGCTTATTAAACCGGTTGATCACATCAGTTGCAAATGAATACCTAACTAGACCTAACTGTACCGGGTACACAAAGCCTAAAGCCAGATCTTTATCTGCAATTAGAACAAAACACAGGAGAATCCCTAAAACGAGAAACCAAAATTTGGGATCAAGTTGTTCTGAATAGGAGCTAGTAGGCCTAGTAGTGTTAAACGGGATACTATTCCCACTTAGCGGTAAAAAATGTCTAACCTATTGGACCAGAACCAAAAATACAACACTTCCCCTACCCACCAACGTCGGAAAAAAATAAAACATCGCCGGGGAGAAAAATCATTCACCAGCATTTTTTCATCTGGGGACCCCCTAAAAGAAACATCAAAAGACTGTTCCGTTTATAGTTTAGAAAGTAGGCCTACATCATGAATAATTAATCAAAATCAGGATTAATAATCTTGCCTGAACGAACCAAAGGGGCGATTGAACTCTGTAATGCATTATGCGGTGGCGAATCTAGGATTTAGCAATGGGGTGGGTAATGGGAGGTGAGTATGACCGAGTGTTGGGGAGGGAGCGGTTTTGGGAGGGCGTCCACTCCCATTTGAGATTTGTTTGGAATTAGTAGACTGCTAGACGACCTTAGATGGCATCTGAAAAAAAGTAACTTTAAAATAGAAAGTGTATTTTTACCAGAGTACACGAGAAGCACACACACAAGACGAGTGACCATTATTATTTTTTTCACGGTAAACGAACGGGGGTGGCTAGCCACCCGATCCGCCACTGATTAGGCCTATGGCATTATTTCGATTAGCTGTCATTGTTATCAACTGCATTTATTTATGAGTAAACGGGATATGATAAAATGTTGATGTTATTTAATTCATTTCCATATTACAAAACCAATGAACAATAATTCATTATTACTTGATTAAACGGTAAAATTAAAAAATAATTACTACACCCAGAATTTGTAGGCCTGTAAATGCAGTAATGAAGGGCAACTTCACACTATAAAGGCAAACGATGAAAATCGCATGAAAATAACCGTTTCTCGCATAAATCAAATATATTTAGCAGGTTTTTTTTTTTTTATGAAATGCGCAGTTTCCAAAAATCTGACGAATTGCTTGGTGATTGGTCAACTTATATTGGCCTAAAGATTATTGATAAAATCAATAGACTGGTCTAAAAATCTTGCTAGAATTCAAGATTACAATGAAAATCAAATAGTAATGATCAATGACGTCCGTGTGAAAAAAAAAGCCCTCTGCAACCTTTTCTCTAATCTTTTTTTTTCACGGTTTGTATTTGTGCATGTAGTTTGACCATACGTTTTTGTTGGAGGTAATTATTAAACAAAGTAAATTTAATTGAATTTTAAAGTAAGATTAACAAATTTAAATAATTTTATAATTTACTAAACAAATTCGTCACAGACACATGTTGTAAAAGCGGTGCAGCTTCTTAGAGGACATTTCACTCGCTGCTGTGCATGTAATTTTATCAGGCGCATTATGGTTTGAGGATTATGGGCCTGTTTGTTGATATCCTTATACCAGTCATTAAAAATGAGATAATAAATATCCTTTATTATGTTTCTCTAAAAAGAGTAAGCAAGAATTCAGTTAAAGTTAATTTATTGCCGCATATTATGATTATTTTACTTATCAAAGTAAATAATCCACATAGCCTATGACGTTATCAGTAAACACGTCTATCACTTCAATCCTCCTTGCTTCATTATTACATTTTATCAAAAGTATCATATGATTATAAGGCAGGGGAGGTGCTATGAGTTCCCTCCTGATTCAGGTAACCAATCAAAACTGCCAAATGCTTGATAATCTTGCAGCGTATGTCATCAAGTGGATAAGGTAGCCAATCAGAACATTTGCTTGAATGCTTGACAATAACACTTACTGCTGTGTATGTCACAGCAAACCACACTCAACAATTTGTTAGCGTACTGTATACACAACTACTGTACTGAGCAAACCACACTCACCAACCTGTTAGCGTACTGTATAAAACTATAAAGTACTGTAATCTACAAGCAAAGAAGATGGCTTCAAGGCAATATACAGCGTAAGTGTTTACCAATATTATTTTACCTGTGTTTAGACGTACGTTATAACTTAATTGTATGCATTTCTAACTTGAATAATTTGATTAAATAATATTGGAAAAGAAAAGAAAGATTATTATAATGAAATTTTATAACGAACTTCGAATAGTATATTTACACTTGGTGTTCTAATATCGACATCGGTATTTTATTATTAGCCAAGAAATCAATCAATAATTTATGTACAATGATTGTATTTTTTGAATTATTTTTCTGTTAATTAAATTGAGGCATTATTAATTAAAGCCTAATAATAGACAATAGTAATGGTGATGCTAATAATTATTCAGACATAGACAGCACCTCCTTGATCATTGGATTCATAAGTTGGAAACCCGCCTCCTCTCCGTTGAGGGCGTACAGTATTCCTAGTTGTCGGATGCAAGGCACTGCGCACATAGTACATCAATGTTATGTAATAGTAGATTATAAAAACTTCATTCATTTATTAATAATCAAAATGAATCATAGGTTATAATCAATTACTGTAGTATCTATCATACATAATTTTATCGCTTCACTGATATTACTGTGTAAATGATTTATTAGCTATTGTATTATTTTAGTTAAGTAGATATTTATGACTGTTTCCTTTTGCCATCGCAGTGACGACTTATACCTGGCAGCGTCTACCCGACAATGGGATGAAGTAAGACTCCTTATTAGAGCCGCGCCTGAACTCGTAAATGAGAAATTGGTATGTAATGTATACAGTATTCAATTATAGTTCAACATCATTTAATTCAAAAGATAATTACAGCAAATTATAATATTATTAATAAAAACACAGTTTCTTGCAAATGTAAGCTCATCATGCAATGTCACCATAAACGAAATTATTAGGGCAAACTAAGAATGACACTGAAACAAAAACGAAGAAATATGTAATTGAATTAATATGTATTATTGTCCCATGCAAAACACCAACACAATCATAAACAACTTTTTTTAAATTAATACAAAAATGATCTACCTGAACATGTAAATTAGTGTATTACAATAATGTTTAGAGATTTTTTACAGCGAAAATGATAAAACAGGAAGTGCTTATTATTTTTATTGTTATTATATAGTCCAGTCCGGTATAAAAATCAGGTTACAAATTTTATTAAATTTAATAATTTCTATGCTCAAATTTATAATTTGTATGTTACTGAAAAATTATCAAATTGATTTCAAATTATTTTTTTAATGATTTGTTTGTCATTTTCAGAGAGCTATACTTCTTTATGGACTAGGCGTACATAGTACACTGATACAACTTGTTTAAAAATCAAAGTTATTCGTTATAATTAGCGTGAGCTTATCATGCATAGCTAGGCCTGCTGGTCAAAAGATATTTGGTAGCATTCTTTAAACCTATCAAATAATGTTTCTTATTCGTTATTATTCCAAAGTCAATTCAGTCAATAATGTATTTACAATAGAAAGTAAATGGCAATGGGTGTAACTGTTGAATTATTGTTTGAACTTTGATTGTGTGCGCTCTCCTAGCACCTGACAGCCAAAGATATTAGTCTAGCGCCCTCTTTAGTGTAACAGCTATCTTGAAAACTTTATTGAGATAGGCCTACTTGATTATTGACTTTGATAATATTAGTTATAGTCTAAATAATGTTGTTAATACATATTAAGATTTCATCATTCAATACTTTTCTTTTGTGTAACTTAAATGCTCCGCCTGGCATATGTTTGCGCTTAATAATGAAATTCATTGCACTTGTTCACTCCTACAGTACTAGAATTTTCTTTGTAAGCATTTTTACACTGAAGATGGCAGTTTTACTACAGAAACATGTTGTACCAGATTTATAATAAAACAGTTTGGCCTATTTTAAAAGGTAGCTTGAAATCGGTTGTGATTAAGAATATTTTTTTTAGTTGTAATCATTCAAAGCTGTTGTCTAAATCCTGCCCATGGCCATTGCAGATGTCATCAACCAGTGGAAAAGCAAATAGTAAATTGCCTATCAAAATAACGTTATTTTGATTGCCAATTCCTAATACTGTGGTCTAGAACCACAATTTGGACCACAAGCTATGAAAACTCTCCCTATGAACCATATCAGGGATTTTCTTTTTTATTCCGGGACCCCAACTGAGGATAGTCGGCCCCTTGGTTTGGACACCTCCGTAGGACTTGATTGTCGAACCCCTTGTTGGCAAACTTGTGGAGCTACAATTTTCATCAACTTTGTGCTTTTTTGTTTTAGGTTTAGTGTTTGTGCTGTTTTCCGTACGTTTATGTTATATCAAATAAATTCAATCAAAATCTAGTACCAAATGATACTTAACCTTTGCAACATGCATATATGTTAGTTGTAATCATTTAATACTTTTGTCTGAAAAACGTCTAAGTCTCATTATTCACTTTTTTGTTTAAAAAAAAACAATGATGACGACGACGATGATAATGAATAATATTGATAATAATACTATAATACAAGTAATATTAATATAATAATGCTTGTAATGATTATGATAGTATACAGTACAGCGATTCCGATAATTGTAGTACTTATTACATAGACACTAATACAAATCCTTTTGTTAACATTTCTAAAGTCATCATAGATAACATCAACAATTTCAATTTGTGCTTCTTGGTTTTAAGTTTCGTTTTTGACCTGTTTTCTGTATATTTATGTTGTATAAAATAATGAAATCAAATTCATACCAAATGATATTAGACCATTCAGTGATACAGGCAGTGGCGTATCTAGGGGTGTGTGGGGGAGGGGGTGCACGTTCGGTCGAGTAGTAGTTTTTTGGGTTTTTTTTTAGCATTTCAAAACACAACACAATTACAGTAAAAACAAAGGTTGTCGCCGACGCAGCGGCATTGAATCAGAAAACAACATACAAAAAAAAACTTAAAATAGATATAAAGAAAAATAACAATTCTTTTTGCAAGCAATTGAATTCTGTAAATGAGAATTTTGGGATTACAACATTCTACACGTTTCCATTTAAGAACATATGCGAGTTCAATCTATCGTTTTCGAAAGCAATCTGCTTTTCAACTTCTAGCCTTCTTTTTACGGTAATTTCTTTTTACGATAATAAATTACGAAAAAAACGGAGTAACCTTAAGGTGGTTCCATTTAAAATGTAAATCTTCGCAATGAGTATTTATTGCATCAAAATTATAGCTTGTCCCTATGCCAAAAAAAGTAGTTAAAAATCACCTTATTATTAGCACCCCTCAACTGATCATCGACGAGCCTCCCCCCCCCCCTCAACTTCACCTCACACCCATCAACCCATCAGAACTCACATTTCAAGACTACAT